ATAGAAAAGCATTAGGAGCTGTCATTGAAGCTGTTCCACGCACATCAAGCCTTTTCTTTACTAATCACTTGCTTAGCCTTGTATACGACATCCATGAAGATGAAGAAGTTTGTGCACCACTTCAACCACCAAATGAAACTAACCAGCTTCATCATTATAATCGAGCATTTACCATTGATCCTCCTTTATCTAAAGATTTAGATGACGCAGTCAGTTTGACACCTCTTCCTGAAGATGATAGTTATGAGCTGGCAGTTCTTATCGCTAATGTTGCCAAAAATATAGATGAAAATCATCCTTTAGACAAGAAAGCTAAACAGAGGGGGACATCTGTATATGGTGCTAAACAGAGAGGTGCATCAAATGACATTCAACGAGTGCATCACATGTTTCCATCCAGTATCACATCTCAAATGAGCCTTGACCGTTTGAAAAAGCGACATGTTTTATGCTTACCTGCTACAGTAGTCATAAAAGAAGGAGTGGTAACTAGTGTAGTGTCTGGCAATCCAAAGGAAGCAATGGTCACTTCTCAAGTACGATTCACTTATGAAACTGCTAAAAAGGTAATGCATGATGAACAGCTAGTTGATGATGATGAGACAAGAATGCAAGTTGAAGCATTCGATGATGCCAGTGGACCAAAGTCACGAATGATTGATACTCTTAATCTACTGTATAAGATAGCTATGTACCTACGCATTAAGAGGTTAGGTGATGCTGGTTACTGTTATGGCCAATCTGAGGAAGGTGAAGAGAGTAACTGCTGGCAGACTCATCTTCTTATACAAGAATTAATGATATTCTGTAATGCATCAATAGCTGAATATCTTCATGAGAGACTTTCGCAACAAACTGCACTCTTACGAGCTCAAATGCCACCTTTAGAAGAAGAAAATCATAATTTTATTAATCAAAATCAAAACTGCCTGTCTCATTCCCTGTCTCTTAAGTGTTATTTAAAAGATTCATCTGGTGAAGCAGGTTCTTTTATTATGTCAGGGACGACACTTGAGCTACTTAATAATGTATGTTCTAAAGAAGATCACGATCATATTCAATTAGCTTCAATTCTTAGCAATAATAAGCTTTATCCACAACTGGCAATGGCCGAGACTATGTCACAATTGATCAGCAGGAAAGCCAGTTATGTCATGATTGAAAACAGCAAAGAACATATTTGTGCTAATCATTCTCATAATAGCCTTGCACTACCAGCATATACACATTTTACATCGCCTATAAGGAGATACTTTGATTTGGTTGTGCAAAGATTAGTAACATCACTCATTGAAGGAAAGCCTATAGCTGAGAATTCTGAGCTTGCAAAGTTGTGCTCTAAACTTAATGTCAGGAACAAAATTGCTAAAGATTTTGAAAAGGCTGATAATAAAGCATGTATAGCCAGAAGCTGTGAAATCTCACTAGAGAGAGCAGAGGCTTTTGTGATCAAATCTTCTAATAAAAGCAATGACTCATTTGAATTATCTTTCACTTCAAGTCATTATGAGTGCATTCATGGTCGAGTCACATCATTTAGTGAATCAGATCTTAATTTACATCACAAAATTGAAGATGGAGCTACTAAATCTATTGTATGGAAAATTGTGTCAATATCATTACGTCAATCCTTTAACCTCTTCTCTCATCCTGATGTAATTGACATGCCTCCTGCTACTCTCAAAGCTCCTCGTTGCTCCATTGCTGCTAAAATGTATCATTACACACAAGGGCTTGAAGAAGGAGAACCACAGATTCATTATTCTAATGCTAAGTTTGCTGTTCGTGATAAAGATATTACTTTTAGTTCAGAACGCTGGCTTGTAACACACCGGTATCTGAAGTGTCAAAATGAAGACAATTTTAAAGAAGTAAAAAGTTTAATTCTTCAATTGCAACAAGAAGCCAATAAAGACAAACCCCAGTCAAGAAGAGATGAAGAGAGTGTTGCAATAACGTATGAAATTCAACGACCTTTTATAGCTAATGATACAGTCACAGTTTGGCTAGGAAAGTCTCTTAAAGAGTGTCTCCCTGTACCAGCTATTCAATTAATGGAGATAGCACCAACAGTTCGTGTGTGCCTTCAACATAACAAGAATCCTTCTCTCTGCTTCTCTGATGTACAGCTACAGAAAGCATCACGTGACACAGCGTATCATTCAATAGAACAGTATGTAGAGCTTTGGAGTAAAGTGTTAATTGCTGAGTCTGCTAATGAAAGTGTCAAAACAAAGAATCTCATATTCATCAGACATGCTCTTCTGAAGTGGAACAAATTTACTCGAGTTGATAACTGTGTTGATGATCCTTACTATTTACCAAATGACGTTTCCCTTGTCATACCTCCTAAGAATCAAGACTCATTGGATTTCATTAGTATCAAATCTGGTGACTTCCTTTGTGTTCGATATGAGATTAGTGATAGTCTCAATGCTGTCTATCACTTTGTTGTGACTATAGTGAAACGAAATGAAAATAAGAAAACAAATAAAAAGAATGATGAAGACGTTATAATAAAATTGAAACCTCAAGGTGATTATTCATGTAGAGTCACAGAGAATATGCATCAAGAATTGGAAAAAGGAAATCAAACTTGTGAGATACAGCTGATACCAATGCCAGATTCCTTTCAGTAAGCAAAATGAGATATTAATTGGTATTTAATAATTTCTTATGTCTCAATTTTATTGTTATAAGAGAGAGGAGAAAGTGGAAAATGCTTTGTTATTATCATTTACTATTTATTTTATGTATAAATAACACAAATATTATGAGAAGAGATGAGAGGGGGTGGAATTGTGATTAATCACAAACAAATTGAAAATTTTATTTTTGTTTTTTATTGTTATTATTCACTGACTTAAACTATCCTGACCTTTTTATTTCTATTTTCTGTGTTAGTTTTTCTTATATTCCTATGACATTTGTTTTATTTTGCATAGCCGAGTGTATGGAAGATTACATGAAGCATCAACTGAGTGGTCGAACCGAGCTACAATTATAGCAATTTCTGATACAAGATCAAAAGAATTTAATACAACTGCACGTGGGTTTTAAATTTTTGTAATTTTTGTTATTATAAATGTAATTTAGAGCATTTTGAAATTTCCTTAAAAGTATTCAAGGATGATCCACTCGCAAAGCAACTATGGAAAGGAGAGTCTGGTATTGAATTGAATGCTGCACAAAAAGATTCAATTAAAAGAGCACTAAGGAATAATTTTCAGCTGATTCAAGGACCACCAGGTAGTAAAAGCTATAATAATGTAGAATAAGTTGTGACTTGAGTTATTATGGGTGTCTGCCGCATAACAAAACTTGTACAATTTTCTGAAAATACCATGATATGGTTATACTATTCCAATTTTAAAAAGTATTTCTATCTTTTATAATTACAGTACATTTGTCATATTCTCTGTTACACAGCATAGAACTATATAGCCAGCTATATCCTGCATGCATGCAGTCTGATTCAATTTAGTAACTACATGTACATGCATGTCTAATGTAGTAATTTTGCCTTCATTTCACACAATGCAAACGAATTAAAAATAATGTGATTACTCATTTTTAAAATTGTAAATGACATGCATGAACTAACTTATTACTCGATACAGGTACAGGAAAGAGTGAGACTGGGGCACATTTGGCTTATATTTTCTCAATAACAAATAAAAAAATATCTGAAAAAGATCCAGTGTCTTGTAAGAAAAAGTCAGTACTGTATTGTGGTCCCTCTAACAAATCAGTAGATGTTGTTCATAGTAAGTAATAAGTAGTTGTATTTTTATGCATCTTAACTGTTAATAAATTATTTTGTAGAAAACTTGCATTTATTAAACAGAAGGTTGGGTAGCAAAAAATTAAAAATTCTTCGTATCTTTGGACGTACTCATGAGCGTAAGGATTACCCAGATCCTGTTTTTGATCTGACACAAGAAAGAACAGACAGAAATGATGATGATAATGATGGTCGTGTCTTAGAAGTGTTTCGTGATGAGTCTCTACACAAAAGAATAAGACACAATTGCCCTGAAATAGTAACTACTGAGAAGAGACTACAAGAACTATTGGATCGTGGTATCATCCCATCATTAGCTGAAAGAAAAAAGTTAGTCTTTAATTGATCACACACTATGTTTCATGTAATGAATGATTTTATTAGTATAAACTTGAATTCATTTTAGACTGCTGTGAATATTGTATGCATATATTTAAGAGAATGAAACTTTTAAAATGAACTGCCTAAAATACCATTATTTATATGTAATACAATAATGATCAGTGCATTGCATTTATCCTCTGTCTAGTTATAAGAAATTGATAACTTCTGAAGAGATGAAAGAAATTCAGAATAATTATGATGTTATTCTCTGCACCTGTAATGAAACATGCAGTCAACGATTGTTGAATTCCAAAGACATACTAGCCGAGTGTATAATAGATGAGTCTGGTATGGCCACTGAGCCTGAGACAATAGCTGCAAGCAGTTTATGTGAACATGTAGTGCTGATAGGAGATCACAAGCAGCTACAACCAGTCATAAAATATCCTCCAGCCAAAGAGTGTGGTCTGAGTACCTCATTGTTTGAGAGATATGCTAATCAGTTTGAGAAAACTAATGATTCACACTTGATAACATTGAAACTACAGTATAGAATGGTATGTGTTTGTAATTTTAACCAGGTATTATACTTATTTTGTGTAGCACTCATTCATATGCCGAGGACCATCTAGTATATTCTATGATAATAAATTAAAGGCTGACCAAAGTGTTCAAAGACGACATCCACTAACTCCTTCCCTACATTCTTTTTGGTCTAGAGGACAGCAATACCCTGTTCTGTTTCTAACAGTTTATGGAATAGAACAATTTAATGATTTTACTGATAGCAAATATTCTGGAAAAGTCGATCCTCATTCTAAAGACAATAAACGGGAAGCTGAAGCAGTGGTAAATAACTTATTTTTAAAGAGCAAAAAGCATGAGATACAAACATAATGTGTACCTTTAAGTGTGTTTGTGCAAACATGTATGTATATTGAAATGGGCTTCTGCAGTTTATACATGAAATTGTATCTGTTTATTTCTATTTGACTTGTGAATTCCAGTATTTTTTGAATCTTGTAAGCCAGAAATAGAACAGATTTCTATTTCTGGCAACATGTTGCTTACAAGATCAAAGTAATTACAAATGTTGCATAGGTTATGTCGGACTTTAGCTACACCCCAAGATTAAGTCACAATGCCTATATTTCTAATTAGCTTTGGTAGAAATTTTTGCAAATAAACATGCATACTGTATTACATAATTTTAGTGGGGCCATTTCTCTGTTTTAGTATCCAAACTTTAAATTTAATTTGATCATAATCATTATTCTTGTCATAAGCTATGCAGATATGACATAGCACGGTGAAATAGAATGCCCTCAGAGGCATACCCAGAAATGGGAAAAGGAGGGTGCTAGTGGCACGCAAAGTGCGCCATGATTTTGGCCACACCCCTTTTCCAGTGCTAAAATATCATTTTCCACCATTTTTGAAGATTGTTCATTAATTAAAAATGGGCAGGGTCATGGTAATTTCAGGGACGCTGGTGCTTCCTATTGCCCTTTAAAGCTCTGAAAAATGCTAAAATTCACCTTTCCATAAAGTAAAATCTTTTTTTGAGTTCCAAAAATTCAAGTACATGTTCTTGATGTAAATGATTTTGTAATTGCTAGACTTAGAAACCAACCCAAATTCAATTACATTTTCTAAAACATATTACCGTATAGTGGGAAACTTTGGAGGTACTGAAATTTGGCAAATTGCTAATTTTTTGATTGGCGGATTTTAATTTGGCAAATTTGTGGACTCATGCCATTGCCATTGAGCATGCATTTTATGGCTCAAAATAGCGAGTTTTTATTTTGGTGAATGGCTATCAAAATGCCAAATTTGCCAAATTTAATCCCCTCCAAAATTTTTCGCTATTATGGTAATTTACTCATGTTGTGCAAAAGTTTGAACTAAATTTGGCTTCAATTTTTCAAGTTATTGCCATTTAAAAAATGACCATTTTTGAAAAATACCTGTAGCCCATTGTTTTTTTCTCTGAAAAAGGCTCCATCCAAAATCACCCTCAGTTTTAATTACATTTTCTGATGCATATGGATGTATTAATACTGTGGAGTTGAATTTGACTTCCATTTTTTTATTAAAATGCTAGTTTTTGAAAAATACCCAAGACCATACATAATCAATAATTTTTTCAAAATATCAATTACTACCATATAGCCGGAAAATTTGGCGGAGAATTAAATTTGGTGGATTGGTGGTTCAAAATAAAACCACCAATATTATAACCGCCAATAATAATAATTGCAAATATTATGGGCAGGTTCATTATACTAAAAAATGGCAGTATTTCTCACTACATGTATTTCAGTCACAAAGTCAAGACTGTGGGCAAGGACTGCCAAGGAGCAGCTTTAAGAAGAGCTGAGTGTGCTTAATGAAAAGACAAGATAGTAAACCGCCAAATTAAGTGACTGCCAATATTATATTTAGGCAGTTTTGATGCAAAACCGCCAAAGTTTTAGACCGCCAAATTTTTCGGCTATACGGTAATTTATCATGTATTTATACTGTGTAGGAGGTTTGAGCTACATACGACTTAAATTTTTTGAGTTATAGCCATTTTTAAAATGGTCAATTTTAAAAATTGCATGTACTTAGCCCATTACCTTACCTAGATTACCATTATTACCTACATTACCATTAAGACCTATGTTACCATTATTGCCTACATTACCATTGTTACCAGAGCTATCATAATTACCTACATTACTACTATTGCCTACAAGCAAACCATTAAGTTATCTTCATTGTGTACTGGACACCCACTTCCTAGGACATTCTCAGTGATGTTTTGCTTCAATAATCTTTACATAACTAAGATTTGCATTGTGGGATAAAAGTACTATTATGTTTTTTTTAGTTAAAGTGTATTAAGAAGTTAGTGAAAGAACATGACGTCAAACATGAGAGCATAGCAGTCCTCACACCTTATAGTGCACAAAAGATTCTTGTTGCTGAAATGATAAAGAAAGACCCTGAGCTAAAAACAAAGAACAGTTTTAGAGTTGCTACTATAGTTGAAAGTCAAGGTATATAGAGAGCTTAATGTAACTTTTTATGTAGTTACTGATTATTGTGAATGATTATTGTGTAGGTGATGAGTACGATATTGTCATACTAACAACTGTCAGATCACAAAAACTCAGTGAAATCAGACATAAAAAGTACATTCAACCTGACAGAAGATGGTTAACAGAAAATCTTGGTTTTCTAACTGATGATCATCAGATCAATGTTGGTATCACTCGTGCTAGATATGGGCTTATAATCATTGGTAAGACAGTAAGAGCTATCATGCTTTTATGTGTATTTATTATAGGCAATGATAAATTACTGAGGTATGACATGACTTGGGATAAGCTGATTAAATTTTATGAAGATAAAGGATGTGTTCGTGATTATAAACAATTATAATAATAAGCTACATATAAATTTAGAGTAGGCCTATAGCATTTTGGTGGCTGGTATTCACCATACATTTTATGTACATTTTGTGCCAATTCTTGTCTGTGTTAGACTGTTTGTTAAATGAAAATTTTATGAGACTAGTCACTACACTGGATGTGAATTTTTTACTGTAAATCTATCATCCATTATTCATGTAAATTATAGCTAGCTAGATCTAGAATCTCGTATTGTTTTTTTAACTAGACTATTTAAACTGCAAGCACTCATTTATTTTTCCTGCAATAGTCTATGTAAATTGAATTTAATTTTTGCACCTTAATTGAGGTGCTAAAAAGTGATGAAAATATCCAAATGCACAGCCCACTTAATCTACCCACTGACCTGCTGAATGGCCGAATTCTCTGCCTAGTTTGTGACCCTTCTTTGGTAGTGTTGACTTTGTCCAATAAGGATTGAAGCTACCTTCAATGGCATATGATCAATTTGCTAATTGAAAAAGGAACAGATGATAAAGAAGAAGTGGATGAACAAATTGAGGCTCTTGAATACTCACCTAACATGAAGATCACTGAACCTGAATGTGTCACTTGGTTAGCTATAAGTATTTTGAAGGGGACTTTAGTTTTTTAAACAAAAAGGAAACAAAAATCACACAACGGTTAGACTCTAGCCTGAATTTTCAAAAAAAGATCGGGTAGATCTAGGATTCTCTAGATCTATATAGATATGTGCTGATTCATCTTTTTAATGTTTTGGGAACAAAGAGAAGTAGGATTCCAAACAAATGACTACCCATACCAATGAAAATACAAAATGAAAACTTAAGCCTGCACTCGTGGCGCAAAATCTACTCTACACTGTACTTTCAAATGTTAGTTACAGATCACCTTGCAATATAGAAGAATAGAATTTGCGTCATGATAGTAGGATTTTCGTTTTGTATTTTTTTCGTATGGGTAGTCATTTGTTTGGAATCCTACTTGTCCTTGTTTCCATTACTTTTTTGATGAATCATGCAGCACATAGAGAACCTTACTTAATCTTTTTTTGAAAATTTTTGTAGTTCTATAGCTTTACTAATAAAATAATTGTTTCCCTCTCTCTCTCCTTCTGTACACACACTTTGTCTCAGCTTGTTAGTCCATAAAAATTTGATTGAGGACTTGAGGTTTGGTGTCAGAATCATGCAGCATACAAAGGAGAAGGAAATAGAGGATCAAGAAAAGCCCTAAGCCATAATTTAGTAAATCTGTGGGAGCAATGATCTGATGTTGGCGTTAATGCCTGACTCCAATTGTAATCACTAGATAAGTTTTATTATTGCATGTAAAGGTAGATTTACATGCAATAGATCTGTTACGATAGGCTTGACGCTATGTTGATGCTGGAATAGGATTTGGTCTATTCTAGCAGATAGCGTGCGTCAAAAGGTCAAATTGCCCACACTTTTGATTAAAAATTGATGGTACACTGGCCTAATGTTATCTAATTATAAATCTGCCTTAACTTGTGGGTTAATGTTATTAAACATTGGATCACTTTGCAATGCACTACAACATAGCTTCCTGATAATTCCTGACACTAGGGAAATCTCTAGGCTCTGTGAATGGCACAGCAAAAAATTCCAGTTCATCTAACCACCATTACCATTACTCTCGGAAATATTTGTTACATAAAATAATTTGAGTGCTTCTTGGAAGTTTATCTAATCATTATTCATTATTATTCATTTACTCTAATATCTATGATTAAAATCATTGACTTGAACCACGCCTTAAACAATGACTTGGCAGATTGGTGGAGGTGTAGTGACTCATGTCTGCTGTTGCTGCTGCTGAATGCTCTGACTAACTACTACTACCGCGAAGACTTAATTTTGTGATAGGTGAGTTGGTCTTGCTTTCTGCAAAATCTTAATTACTATCATTTATTAAAATGATAATACTAAGTATTTCATGTGACTTGCCAATAGACTCTACTCGTTTGTAAGCCTGAGAATTGAACAATGAAATACTGAGAGATCTATCTATTATGGTAGCTAGTAGATATTACGTCATAGATCTATGCATCTACTACATGTGTATGTACTAATATTGATATAAGCTGTCCGCCATGTTATAAGTTGAGGTTTATTTTCTGTTCTTAGAAGTTAGCGGAGTTTGATATTATTCATAACTTTATGTTAGGTCAGTCCGGTCCCCTTATCTTATTATTGTGTTCGTCATTTTGCTTATGGTTTAACGAGGAATGGCTGTGCGTCAGTGGATTCCTGATATGCATCAACCTGCTCTTGTCTGTACCAGCTGTTTTCATCCGGCAGACACTGCTCTTTACACTATTGGTTGCAGGAGACCAGATATTCATAAATCAGGGTATTACTGGGCAATAATAAATAAAGGAATTCTAGTACCATTGCTCGATAATGCTCATCAGAATGGTTCAATTTACAATTATCCTCTGGTAAGTTTTTGAGTATTTATTTTTTGCCAAGCATAATTACAGTGGGCACTAGTTGTAATTAAATATACCATAAGGTCCATAAAAGGGCAGGTGTCTCAGTTTTGTGACAATAGAGGGAACCATAAATATTTTGACAATACATGCCAGGATTGACTCATTAATCGAATTTTTTGAATTAATTGAAAATTCAGTAAACATGACTTAGATTCCACAGTTTGCTCCATCAGCTCTAAATATTGGAAGAGATTAATATTGGCAATGTGTAAGCAATAGAATTTTTCATTTTCCTTTATTCTGAGCATGCTCAATGAGTGACAGTGACACATATGGCTCGTAAATTGCCATTAGTGACACATATGGCTAGTAAATTGCCATTATAAAATTTGCCAATTGCAAAAGTTTCAACTAATTGCCAAATATAACTCTCACCAATATTTCTAGTTGTGGTAGTATTAGTAGCATTTGTAACCACAATTCCCAGTACACTTTTAGCATACAAGCAGCCAAGCCAAACAACCTTCTCTTGTCCTTAATATTTGTTACACAATCACCACATTATAACAAACATTTGAACGTTGTTTGTTGCATGAATACAGTGTACTACATGCATGCTACTATTAGCACTTTTTATTATATACCGGCTATGCGGCTATGTTCTGTTGTACCTATATAATGTGCATAAATATATAATTTCACCAAACCACAAAGGGGATTTTGGGGGGAGATTTTAGGGCATAGTTCAATAATTGTTGCTGTCAAGTGAAGCCATAACACTATTAATAAATACTGTGTATTTACGTCATGACTCATGACTACTTGAGTCATAAGATATACTGTACATTGTAAATGATTATGTTTTCAGTATAATAAACTCTAGCCGTATATAGTTTAGTGAGTTAGAATGGAAGCTAAGCAAATTCATCTATTTCTAGAAAGAACCAGATACCAAAAGTTTACATAGTTCATACAGGGAATCTCAACCTTCATATGATGACATGAAGCTACCAATCACAACAGACCACTATAAAGCAAAGTTTACTGCCTTACTCTATTATGAAGAGCAGGAACATATTGAACTATTAAAGAAGAAGTGAGTTTAAGCTATATGAAGCAGTACTTGGCATTAATACATATATTGTGTCTTATTTTTAGGTGTAATGGTCATTTTGTCTTACAAAAATGTAGACCACCTTCATTAAATCGTGATGAGAAAAGCTATCCCCCTCATTTCTATTGTCTACAAGGAATGTCATCAGCACAGATCATGTATGCTACTCAAGCCAGCGATCGACACGTTACTATTAGCATTGGTCAACATAGCTATGCAGCAAACATTCTGAGTTGTAATTATTCATACATTGATGATAAGCTATACATTTGTTTCGATGATAGCATTAGGAATCAGTCTTTTTTAGAAGTCACTGCAAAATTTGACGTTAATCACAATTATTTTGTTGGCCTCAATGAAGGAGTGAAGAGGATTAGCTTAAAAGTGATACGTCGTCTTATACCTACACCAGAAGATTTTAAAAGCCGTCCAAGAGATATTGCCATTAACATTAGAAGGCACCCATATGGAGGAATTGATCTTGATCCTGAGCAGTATCCTGCATTAGAAGCAATACTCAGTAACCAGTGTTCAGCTCCTGTACTTGTACCTGGTGCTTTTGGCTGTGGTAAGACTCGTCTTCTTGCTGTGGCTACAGAATGTTTCTTCAGAGAGCATCGTGAGACTGGTCACCCTTCACCTTGTCGTATTTTAATCTGTTGTCATCATCAACATTCCGCTGATGTTTTTATGGATAATTATTTTAGCAAAATGCTGTCACACTCTTGGCCAGTAAAAGTTGTACGTGTTACAAGCTCACGGCATCGTGTTAGTTATCCTGGTTATGTGCAAGCTGCCCATTTTGATAATTCACAATACAAGAATGAAAATTCCTTTCTATTGGTCACAACATTTGGAGGAGCCCTGACAATATCTAGACGGGTTGAGCCTGATTTCTTTACTCATATTCTAATTGATGAGGGAGCTCAAACTCGCGAACCTGAAGCTCTTAGTCCATTTCTAATGGCAAATGAGAATACTCGTATTGTTATTGCTGGAGATCATCAACAGGTATACATTTACAGTATATGCATGCAAGTTTTTATGCACATGCTTGTAGTTAACATGTATAGATTGACATTGTGTATTTTTATAGGTTGGACCTCAACTTCTTGTTCTTGGTAAAGCTCCTCAGCAGTTTGGTTTATGTGTGTCACTGTTGCAACGACTACTAGAGAAGTATAAATCTATTGGAGACATTACCAAGAGGAACACTCCATCATGGAATATTAATTATCGCTCACAAGCTGACATTTTAGAACTACCTTCTAAGTTATTTTATAACTCAGAGCTGAGAGCTTGTGGTAGAATACCATACCACCTCAAGGCTCCTTATCCTTATGTTTTTATATGTTCCAGTTTTACTAATGATATTCCAATTGATGCTCAGTGTGCTGTAGAGGCTGATAGACTCCTTCAAGCAGTGCAGCTACACAGTGACAAGTTCAAAAGCTGGGAACTGAAAGACACTTGCATTATGACTCCAAGTTTGAAACAGGTATTGTATAGTTTATACATGGGATTTAAATTTTGGAGATTCTGTTTTGAATTTATTGTTGTCAATTCAGATAACCACCTGTTATAGAGTATTGTGCATTTTATCTTAAGCCTACTATTATTTGCATCTACTAATTTTAGCAAAATCAGCAAAATTCATGTTTAGCGTTACTAATTTTAGCGTTTTTGACCAAATTAATTATAAATAATAACCATTATAATGAATAATAATTATTTTGGCGTCTATTTAATTTAGCGATTTAAAGCTCTCTCGCTAATATAGCTAAATTTAGTAGACGCTAAAAATAGTAGGCTTAAGGTACTCTAATATAGTATTTAGGTTCATTATGCCCATTTTGTCTATCTTATGCATGCACAGTTTGTGGTTTTATGTTGTAAAAACAATTAAAATGAACTCTTCTCTTTAGCTTGGTGGCTCCATTTCTACTCTCATTAGTGAAACAGGTGTTTGGGTTAGTGCTTTCATGTGCACAAGCACTAACCATTAACTAGTTAGAGCACAGCTCCTCATACTGTATATAGGAAGTACAGCATGAAAGGTTTTGTCAAGAAAGTCATACAACACTTGACTTACCTCATACTGCATGGCCTGCAACACCTCTCATGCTGTATTTCCTGTACCACTCTTGAAACCATGTTTTAACTAATATTTGTTATTGCAATAATTAAATGATGATATCATGCATCATTATGTTTTTGACAGGCAAACCTTATTAAAAAATTGATAAAGACTAAATTCAATAATTTAGAAGGCGTCAATGTTATCACCAGTTATCAAATGCAAGGTAATACAGTTTTGTGTTTCATTTGAAATTTTATTATTATACATGTACAAACAGGGCAGGAGTACCGTATGCTTTTCATGAGTACTGTTGAAAGTTTAGAGTCCAATGGTCGACCATTTGATCCTTTGAAGAGTTTTTGTAATCCAGCACTATTTAATACAGCAATTACACGCTCTAAAAGTCTTGTAGTAGCTGTAGGTAATCCTCTTGTACTACTATTGTCTGAAGCTACTATGGATAATCTTAAATGGTGCTGGAGAGAGTTTATTTCTAGATGCCTTCGAAATGAAACATTTAAAAGTACTCCTTCTGACCGTGCTCAGTTTGACCAAGTAAAAGCACAGTTCTTTGACATGCTAAAATGTGATAACACAACTGGTAAGGACTTTATATTTTTGGTGCCCCTTTGTTATCATATATACCATGTAGATGTAATGGAATTGTTTCAAAAGAAGAGCTATTCACAAAATCATTTTACAAAGCCTTCTCCACTACCTAAAGCTCCTGTGCTCACTACTCCTTCTAAAATGCACTCGGCTCAACAGCCCAGTGGGTGGTCATCAGGTACTCCACCTTCAGTGTTATATCATCCAACTCAAGATAGAAAGCAGCCATCTTCTCAAGTCAATCAAGACCTACCTTTTGAAAAAGAAGCAGCACAACCATGGCCACAACTAGATCTACCACCTTCTCTTCAAGAAAGTAAAAAGCAACTTACTTCTTCACCACAAGAAGCAAAGATGCATCAATCTCCAACTAAACAACAGTCTCATGTGTTTTCACAGCGTCAAGTCAAGCAACAGCAGTACTCAGCAGTTGAACAAAAGCCGCATTTTGAAATAGAACAACAGTATACTTATACAGATAAGAAGCGGAAGTCTAAACAACCAAAATCTACACACACAAATAATGCTCTGCCTCTATCAAAACAAACTGGTCCAAAAAAAGCATCTGCTCCTCAAACATCATTGTCTTTAAAGAAGCAAAAAGGAAGTAATATGGCAATACAGTCTAAAGTAGGGCCACCAGTCCTTCAGCAGTTACCAACTGCCTCACCTCGACAGCAAAAGCAATCTCCATGGAGACCACTTGAACCTGTTGTTCCCATTTCATTACAATCTACTGTGAAGCCTTCAAAATCCTCACCTGCAGTCATGAGAACTAGTCAGATCTCTTCAGAACATTCCGAACCTCTACAAAATCCTAGAAATTTTATTCTTGGTTCTTATATTAGTAATAAGTTGGAGGAAACTTTAAATTCAATACAGAGTAGATCTACAAAAGAAGCAGCATCTCGAAATAAGGTTCCTACTTCTGAAGGTAAAGTTTAACATTCATTTTTGTTTTTTATGGTTTTGTTTTTGTACTTTAGCACTCAAGACATCTATTTCAATGCACTCCTTCAAAGACCATGCCCACCGCCCTATTAATAAAGAGCTACTAGCTGCTACATTAACTCCTGGCAACTATAAGGAAAAGTTTCACCAGTTATTGTGTCGGGAAGAAGATGAACATGAGAGGATTCTTAGAGAAAAGTATATAATTAAACTAAAATACGTAATTTTTAATTTAATTTTATAATTTAGGTGCAATGGTTTCTATGATTTAAAGTTGTCAAGTATTGACAAATGTGTGAAGTGGCACTTTGAGTGGTATCAAAACAAATATAAATTATTTTGTACAATATCAAACACACAACTTAATGCTGATACAATAGCTTATGCTATGCAGGCAAGTGAAGGTATAGTTATTCTCCATTTGCCTACTGGAGATTTACAAGCAGATATTCTTCAGACAAAAAACAGAAGTAGCCTTTATTTTCTACTAGGGCTTGAAACAAATACTGGAGTTACACAACAATCAAATGTCAATGTGACATTTATTTTAAAATTTTCCTATTTTGATCGTCTTCATCGAGCCTTAGATAGTTTGCCTCTAGCTGTACTTAATCGTTTAATGCCAAATGACCCTTGTCATTTTAGTAATGTGGTGTTGAATGAAGAAGATATTCCTCCTCCAGTTTCGTGTGTCCATGACATAGTCAAATTAGAATATTCGCAGAGGAAAGCTCTTAAGTCTATAATGAGTTGTGAAGCTAACAAAGCACCTGTTTTAATCATAGGTTCATTTGGAACTGGTAAAACTCAATTGCTCGCTCGTGCTGCATATCAAGTATTGAAACAAAATCGAAAAAACAGGATTCTAATCTGTGCCCATCATCAACGCTCTGCAGACACATTTATGACCAATTACTTTTCGAAGATGATTGCTTCAGGTTGGTACTGTGGTAAAGTTGTTCGTCTGATGGCAACCAGAGATTATTATGCTCCTTTAAATTGTGCGAAGTATTACGCTACCATCAGAGATAAGCGTTTCAGAAATGGGATGGAAAAAATTAGCTTGATTGTCACAACATTTTCTACATCACTTCATATGCTTGGAGTTGTTCCTGAAGGATTTTTTACCCACATTCTGTTGGATGAAGGTGCTCAAACTCGAGAACCTGAATCTGTTGCTCCACTTTGTTTAGCTGATGGTAATACACAAATTGTAATTGCAGGAGACCACAAACAAGTGAGTGATAACTATAACTATTATCAATGAATTTATTGAATTTAGGTTGGTCCCTCATTGTTAGTGCTTGGTGAACTAGCTATAAAAAATGGCCTTAGCCTGTCATTGTTGGAGAGGCTTTATACTGTTTATAATGATGAGAGGCTGATTGATGCTTCATTGGTACACTCAGCTACTCTTCTCACTAATTTTAGATGTCATCATGCTCTACTGTCTCTTCCATCTTATTTATTTTATGATTCTTCATTGATTACCGCTGCTGAAGCTGTGACTCATCTTCATCCTGAAGCTAAGTACCCTCTTCATTTTATATGCTCAAATCTTACTGAAGAAAAAGAAATCCGTGCTAACAGTAATGAGTTTGAAGTCATAAAGTTGTTAGAAGAATTGAGTAAGTATGTTAAAAGCTGGCCTAATGAATGGGGTAAAAAGGATCTTTCTAAAATTTGTGTTATGACAACAACAGCTCACCAAGTGAGTCAAAAACAATTTAGTTAATTTATTTGTGAACTTTAGAAATATTGTGTCATTCAAGCTTTATTTCGTTATTCACATCTTGAAGATATTGATGTTCGAACTGTTTTTGATATTCAAGGTATTGTTGATTTTATTTAAATCACATCACAACTAGTAACTATTTTATTATAGGTTGTGAGTATGAGGCAATTTTTCTTAGTACAGCAGAGCCTACTACAAAAGAAGGCAAATCTAAAAATCCAACCAAGACACCTTGCAGTCAATATGTATTTAATACTGCATTAACACGTGCTAAATCACTTGTAGTGTGTGCTGGTAATCCGTTTCTGTTGATGACAATAGAAGAAAGCATGGGTAATGAATGCTCTTGTTGGAAAGAGTATATTAGAAGGTGTATACTTTCTAAAACATTTGTAGTACGTTTGAAAAGGAAGGATGAAGCAAATAAAGCCTTCATTGGTGATAAAATTAAAATGTTACAAGAGATAATTTTTAAGTTGTCACCTGCAAGTGGGTCTTTTTCTGTTAAAGATAGCATATTGAAATCATTTCAACAAGCATTAAAATCTATACCACAGTACAAAAACTGCAAATTGAGAATTGTTCAAGAAGTACGTGAACATTGGAATATTATAGACTCGAGTTCATCTGACACAAATAAAATAGAATCTGATGTTGAAGAGAATGAAGGTGAAAAAGAAGGTGTTTTTGATTGTGAATTGCAAATAAAAAACTATCGCTCAGCAATTGCAATTCCTCTTGATCAATCAAAGGAGCCCATAGTTATTAATGGGTTTAATAATAGAAGAGGAGCTTTCAACAATGATATAGTACAAGTGGAAGTTACTGTATTTAATTCTCATTCTGCATCTGGTGATGATGAAGCTATAGTTAAAAGGTCTGGTAGGGTATTAAAAGTTATTGAAGAGCAGCATCCAACTAGGTATGTATGCCGTGCTGATCAATATGGCCTCATTAACTTTTATCCTCTTGATAAAACTGCTCCCGTCATTGTTAACCTTCCAATAATATCCTACAATCTTCTTCGATATCGTCCTAAGGATGACCAGGCCCCAATGGTGCATGATTACATTGCAGTGTTTAAAGAGGAGTCACTCTCAGTCTCACCTAATGATCAGATTCCTTGTATTAAGGAGCTCATACCGTTTGAATTGTCACAGAGTCTCTTGTTTGTTGTTGAGGTCCTCGGTTGGAACCCAAAATACAGAAAAGCACTAGGAGCTGTCATTGAAGCTGTTCCACGTACATCAAACCTTTTCTTTACTAATCACTTGCTTAGCCTTGTATATAACATCCAAGAAGAAGATGAAGAAGTACATGCACCACTTCAACCTCCAATTAAACCTAAAGAGCTTCGTCATTATAATCGAGCATTTACAATTGATCCTCCTTTATCTAAAGATTTGGATGATGCAGTCAGTTTGACACCTCTTCCTCAAGATGGCAATTATGAGCTTGCAGTTCTTATAGCTAATGTTGCCAAGCATATAAATGAAAACCATCCATTAGACATGAAAGCTAAACAGAGGGGGACATCTGTATATAGTGCTAAACAGAGTGGTACATCAAATGGCATTGGACGAGTGAGTCACATGTTTCCATCCAGTATCACATCTCAATTGAGCCTTGACCATTTGAAAGAGCGACATGTTTTATGTGTACCTGCTACAGTTGTCATAAAAGAAGGAGTGGTAACTAGTGTAGTGTCAGGCAATCCAAGGGAAGCAATAGTCACTTCTCAAGTACGATTCACTTATGAATCTGCTATGAAGGTAATGCATAATGAAGAGGTTGATGATCTTGAAACAAGAAGGCAAGTTCATGTATTTGATACTACCAGTAGACCAAGCTTACTCATGGCTGATACTCTTAATCTACTGTATAAGATAGCTATGTACTTACGCATTAAGAGGTTAGGTGATGCTGGTTACTGTTATGGCCAGTCTGAGGAAGGTGAAGAGGGTAACTGGCAGACTCATCTTCTTATAGAAGAATTAATGATATTCTGTAATGCAACAGTAGCTGAATATCTTCATGAGAGACTTCCACAACAAACTGCACTCTTACGAGCTCAAATGCCACCTTTAGAAGAAGAAAAGCATAATTTTATTAATCAAAATCAAAACTGCCTGTCTCATTCCCTGTCTTTTAAGTGTCATTTAAGGGATTCATCTAGTGAAGCAGGTCCTTTTATTATGTCTAGCACAACACTTCAGCTACTTATTGATGCATGTTCTAAAGGAGATCACATTCAATTAGCTTCAATTCTTAGCAATAATAAGCTTTATCCACAACTAGCAATGGCCGAGACTATGTCGCGATTGATCAGCAGAAAAGCAAGTTATGTTGTGATTGAAAACAGTAAAAATCATATCTGTGCTAATCATGCTCATAATAGCCTTGCATTACCATCATATACACATTTTACATCACCTATAAGGAGATACTTTGATTTGGTAGTGCAAAGATTAGTAACATCACTCATTGAAGGAAGACCTATAGCAGAGAATTCTGACCTTGCAAAGTTGTGCTCTCAACTTAATGTCAAGAACAAAATGGCTAAAGATTATGAAAGGGCTGATAATAAAGCATGTATAACCAGAAGCTGTGAGATCTCACTAGAGAAAGCCGAGGCTTTTGTAATCAAATCTTCCAAGAAAAGCAATCATGACTCATTTGAGTTATCTTTCACTTCAAGTCATTATGAGTGTATTCATGGTCAAGACACATCATTTAGCATATCAGATCTTAATTTTCATCACAAAATTGAAGATGGAGCTACTAAATCTATTGTATGGAAAATAGTTTCAGTATCATTGCTCCAATCATTCAGCCTCTTCTCTCATCTTGATGTATTTGATATGCCTCCTGCTACTCTCAAAGCTCCTCATTGCTCCATTGCTGCTAAAATGTATCAATATACACAAGGGCTTGAAGAAGGAGAACCACAGCTTCATTATTCTAATGCTAATTTTGCAGTTCGTGATAAAGATGTTACTTTTAGTTCAGAACGCTGGCTTGTAACACACCAGTATCTTAAGTGTCAAAATGAAGACAATTTAAAAAAAATAAGAAGCTTAATTCTCCAATTGCAACAAGAAGCCAGTAAAGACAAGCCACAGTCAAAAAGAGATGAAGAGAGTGTTGCAATAACGTATGAAATTCAACGACCTTTTATAGCTAATGATACAGTCACAGTTTGGCTAGGAAAGTCTCTTAAAGAGTGTCTCCCAACACCAGCTATTCAATTAATGGAGATAGCACCAACAGTTCGTGTGTGCCTTCAACACAACAAGAATCCTTCTCTCTGCTTCTCTGATATCCAGCTACAGAAAGCATCACATGATACAGCATATCACTCAATAGAACAGTATGTACAGCTTTGGATTAAGGTGTTAATTGCTGAGTCTGCTAATGAAAGTGTCAAGACAAAGAATCTTATATTTATCAGACATGCTCCTCTGAAGTGGAATAAATTTACTCTAGCTGATAATTGTGTTGATGATCTTTACTATGTACCAGAAGATGAAGTTTCCCTTGCCATACCTCCTAAGAATCAAGACTCATTGGATTTCATTAGTATCAAATCTGGTGACTTCCTTTGTGTTCGATATGAGATTAGTGATAGTCTCAATGCTGTCTATCACTTTGTTGTGACTATAGTGAAGCGACATGAAAATAAGAAAGCAAATAAAAAGGATGATGAAGACATTGTAATAAAAATGAGACCTCATGGTGATTATTCATGTAGAGTCACAGAGAATATGCATCAAGAATTAAAAAAAGGAAACCAAACTTGTGAGATACAGCTAATACCAATGCCAGATTCTTTTCAGTAAGCAAAATCAGACATTAATTGGCATTTTATATTATCTTATACCTCATTTTTTTAAGAGAGAGGAGAAAGTGGAAAACACATTGATTATTAATTATTATTATTTATTCTATGCATGAATGGTACAGCAAAGCAGCAAACACAAAAATTAAGAGAGAGGGTGGAATTGTGATTAATCATAAACAAATTTATTGATTATTATAGTTATTCTAAGAGGTAGTGGAAATATGATCTTATTCACTGACTTAAACTATTCTGACCTTTTTATTCCTATTTTCTTTATTAACTTCTACATTCCTAACACATTTGTTTTATATTTGTATAGCCGAGTATATGAAAGATTACAGGAAGCATCAACTGAGTGGTCTAACCGAGCTAAAATTATAGCAATTTCTGATACAAAATCAAAAGGCTTTAATACAATTGCACGTGGGTTTTCAATTTTTGTAATTCTTGTTATTATAAATGCAATTTAGAGCACTGTGATATTTCCCTGAAAGTATTTAATGATGATCCACTGGCAAAGCAACTATGGAAAGGAGAGGGTGGCACTGAATTGAATACTATACAGCAAGATTCAATTAAAAGAGCACTAAGGAATAATTTTCAATTGATTCAAGGACCACCAGGTAGTAAAAGCTATGATAATGTAGAATAAGTTGTGACTGCAAATCTTAAATTATTATATAGGTGTCTGCCGCATGACAAAATGTGACATGTTTATACTATTCTATTTTCTAATAAATTGGCTCCAAAAGTATTGCTAATTTTTATAATTACAGTACATTTCTCATATTCTCTGCTACACAGCATACCGTATAGCGCTTTATTTTTGAGGAGCTAAACTTTCACTATTTTCGCGGTTAGCATGAAACTGCGAAATTAAAGATCCGCTAAAATTTCAATTGCCATTAAAGGTGTGGCACCATCATTGCAAATCCGCAAAAGTTATTTCCGTGAAAATTGATTTTTATTAATCCGTGAAAATTTAGCTCCGCAAAATTAAAGCGCTATACGGTAGAACTATAGCCAGCTATATGCTGCATGCCAGCAATCGATTTCAATTTAGTAACTACATGTACATGCATATCTAATGTAGTAAGTTTGCCTTTGTGGCACCAAGGTGCAGATCAATTAAAAATAATGTGATTCCTCATTTTTAAATTGTAAATGACATGATCTAGCTTAAATTATAATTATTACTCAATACAGGTACAGGAAAGAGTGAGACTGGGGCTCATTTGGCTTACATTTTCTCAATTACAAATAAAGAAATATCTGAAGAAGACCCATTGTGTTGTAAAAAAAAGTCAGTACTGTATTGCGGTCCCTCTAACAAATCAGTAGATGTGGTTCATAGTAAGTAATAATTAGTTGTATTTTCATGTATCTTAACTGTTACTTCATTATTTTGTAGAAACCTGCATTTATTAA